GGTGAAGAGATTGAGATTGTTCACAGCTTTAGCTTGCTTGGCTCCACAGTCAACACTCTTGGCACCAGTAGCCAGGAAATTAAAAGACATATTGCGATGGTAAAGTCTGCTGTTAGGTACCTCTCCAAAGTACTGAAGAGCAATGGTATCGCTCTGGATAAGGTGCGTCTGATATAGGTTATGATCTTTGCAATCACTTGTTATGTATCAGATAGTTGGACAACCACTAGGGAGGATAGAAGGAGAATTGACGCCTTTGAGCTGTGGTGCTGGAAAGAATATTGAGGGTACCATGGACTGCTAGGAAAACAAACAGATTCATCCTGAAGAGGGCTAAACTGGGCGGTGGCTCCTTGGAGGCAAGGATTCTGGGGCTTGTCTGACATACTTTGGACATGTTGTAAGGAGGGACTCGTCCTTGGAGAGGGACATCATGCTTGGTAGGGTGGAGGGACAGCACAGGAGAGGAAGGCCCTCTATGAGGCAGATTGATTCAGTGACTGGGGTAATTGGGATGGGTGTATCGGAGACAGTGCAACTGGCACACGACACAGCAGAATTTAGGGCTGTTGTACATAGGGCCGCTATGAGTCGCAAGTGACTCGATGGCACATAACAACAACACACGTGAAAGAAGCCAGTCATAAAAGATCACATGCTATATCACTCCATTTATATGAAATATCCAAAACATAAGATCAAAAGAGGCCAAAAAAGTAGATTAGTGATTGCCTAGGACTAATAGAGATGGAAAGACTGGAGTAGAGTGACAGCTACAGTATGGAGTTTCTTGAGAGTAATGAAAGTATTCTAAAATTGTAATGATGACTGCACTCTGAAATGTACTAAAAGCCACTGTAATGTACAATTTAAACAAGTGAACTGTATAAGTGAATTATGTCTTGATAAAGCTGGTAAGAAAAGCAGCACAGTAGGTGCTATTAAACTGCTAACCTATAATAATAAAAAAAATTAGTGCACCCCCCCAAAAAAAAAATGTCACTTACTGGTAGATAAAGCAAAATGAAAATAATGGACACTCAAAGATGGCATAAATTATGCTAAGTGAACTAACTCTGTCCCATAAAGAAAATACTGTATAGACATTATAGAAATAATTAGTAAAACATGGATGAGGATCTAAAGGGGGGCGGGCAGAGAAGTGGGGATGAGCAGGGGGGTAATCATGGGGTCACATGGTTTGATGGAAGGATCTGGTGTGAGTGACGATGTATATAAGCTTTGTAGGTAGACCAGTAAAGAATTAAAAAAAGACATAAAACTTTTAAATGTATAGATCATAAAATTCCTTTTTCTTATCTGAGATAAATAGAAAATGTTTCTAGCACAAACTCAGAGTATTTAAAAATACTAAATGTTGTTTTGAGAAATCTCATAAATGTATAGAGAAAGATCAGAATGTAGGCTTTATATCAGGAGGTAACAGAATGCCACCTATTAGTGGATGTAAGTCCCACAAAAAAAAAATGGTACAGCTTTGTATACTTTAAAAAAGGGAAAGAACCTACAACCAGGAGACAATAAAACAGACGAATGAGATCTTCTAAGAATCAAAGCCATATGCACATCCAAAAACTTCTCCAACAGTGTAAAAAGGGAAGCCACAGACTGGGAAAAAGTTATTTGGTAATGACATATCAGATCAGGGACTTACAGCCAGAATTTATAAAATACTTGAGCACCGCAAGATAAATAATCCAATAGAAAAATGGACACAGGATAGGAACACACACTTCACCATAGAAAACATTCAGATGGCCACCAAGCACATTAAGAAATGTTCAAAATCCCTAGCTCTAAGAGAGATGCAAATCAAAACAACTATGAGATACCATCTCACCCCAGTCAGAATAGCAAAATTTAACAGAACAGCAAACAACAAATGCTGGTGACGTTGTGGAGAGACTAGAATCCTTATTCACTATTGGTGGGAGTGTAAAATGGTGCAACCACTGAGGAAGGTGGTATGGTACTTTCTTAAAAAGTTGCAAATAGAGATACC